ATGTGAGGGCGCTCCACGTAAGGGATCTTTTTTTTTTTTGCTGTTTGGGCGGGTTGCATGGTTTTTTTTGATTTTTTTTGTTGTGGAGGGGGGGAAGGGGGAGTGGTTTCATGTTTTGCTGTTCGGGCGGTTGGCGTGTTTGATTTCCCGGGGGGAGGGGGGGTGGGGGGTGTGCGTGTTTAATTTTTTGCTATTTGAGCGGTGGGAAGTATTTATTTTCTGCTGTTTGGGCGGGGGGCGTGTTTTGTTTTTTGATGTTCGGGCGGGGGGCGTGATTTTTTGTTGCTGTTCGGGCGGGGACGGGAATTCACTCACTTACCGGCCTGCCTGGCTGGGCGGGGCCTAACAACAAAAAAGACCAAACACAAAAAAAAAGAAAAACACGGGTTCCGATCTGCAGTACTTGACACATTGGCATACTGAGGCGCTGGCTGCTGACTTGTTTGAGGCCTTGGAAGTGCTTGTGTGCTGCCATTTGCTTGGCGGCATCTCACGCCACAGGTGCTGAAGGCGCCCAGGCGTAAGTGATGCACAGAACTAACATCCCACAAAGCCACTAACACAAAATGAGCAGAAATGCGTGCTACCCAGACGTAGTCGCAAAGCATGTGCGGATACTTGCAAAGGCTGAGAGCACTTGGGGTCCGGGCGCTTCAGCTGATGCGGCATGACCCATACGTTGAGGCAACCTGAGGCCAGCCAGTAGTTGAGGCCGGCCAAACCTCTTAGTTTAGAAATTCAGTACCCCTGAAAACATGCTTCAAATAGATTTCCTGCACAAGGATCCCCAATGAGGCATCCCCTCAAGACTACCGCCTCAGCGCCTGGAGCATCTGGCCTCATGAAGCTGAGGGTGACACTTAACAGGTAAAGCCCGAAGCGAATGCTTACAGCGGCTCCATGCTGTCAAATACCCACTGCCGCCTCCAAGTCTGAGCCATATCCACAACAGAGGAAGACACAAAATGACTCCGGAGCCAGCATGAACCATGGCAGGCAACCCAGCACGGCCCAGCAAGTCACGCTTCAAAGCAAGACAATCTTTTTTGAGCTAGGCATCATAACTCAGCTCTGTCAAGATCCAAGCTAGTCTCACACTAGCATGCTAATGTGACACTACTAGAGCTGCATTGATTGTAGTGGGCTGAGTCAGTGCTTCTATAATACCATACGAGATGCTCGTCAATTGTAGCCGCAGTCGCCGAAGCGGCTTGCGGGGCTAAGTGTGTGGTTTTGAGTTTTGAGGTTGATGAGTACTGGCAATGCGGCTCACACTGCCGAGACCTGAGCATCCACCAGGGTCGCTGTTTCATGTCCTTTCACGGTAGCCTGCCTCACTGTGCGTAGAACACTAGCCAGTGCGAACGGCTCCGCAGTTCCTTGCAAGCGTAAGAATGTAACAAGTAACCCCAGGAGACCAAATGATGTGCCTGCACTCCCGGTTTCGGGCAAACTGATGGTCTCCGCATTGGGCACATCTCCAGTCGCCTTCCCAGTAATCCTCACACAGCACAGTGCCTCTTGTCGCTTGAGAGGGGGCAGGTAACTACGGCGTCAGCGCGTCCTGGTTTTTAACCGTTTTTCTTTCTTGCTGCAAGGAGTGGCCCTGCTGGTACAGAGACATCAGCGAAGCCATTTGCCGCCTCAGCTACCGTTGACGCAAAGGCTTGAAGCGCTGCTGCAATCCCACTTGCTGCAGAGTGGCTGGACCCAGAAGTTCTGGTAAGCTGTCTCTGCCGCTGCGGCCTCTCACAAAAACTTTGAATCAGCAGGTTGGCTGATTATGCTAGTTCACAACACTGATGGCGCAAGAGTCCACAGATTCTCCTTGCCTGCTCTGCAGCTCGTGCCTCTTCAGGCGATAGCGCCTGGACAAAGACAAGGCAGATTCCCCAGGCAAAGCTTCACAACTTGGCGCATAAGGTCCCAGCAACAGGAACACTCTCTGGCGCTGGCTGGGACGGCTGAGCAGGAGATGGAGCGACCTCCTGCTGGCAAAAAAACGCATTTGGTGTCAGCAAAAGTCAGCGTCTGAAGGCCTCTGGAGATTTGGCCTCTGCCAGCTCTGCTTCCAGCGGTTTCGCTTCTTTGGCTGATGCCGGTTCCTCCTTTTTCTCGGGGCCGAAGAGCCCTGCGGCCTGAGCTAAGCGGAGCAATGCCTGAACGAGGGACTTTTACCGGTCACGAGGCCTCCTTGCCGAGCAGCGATGCCGCCTAGGCACTAGCTTTGCATCAAGGAACCAGCCTTCAGATTCATGTCAGGCTGGGACCAGATTGGCCAAGGAGGATTGGACGTTGCTGCGTTTACCTTGTGATGCCCAGCGGTATGTTTGACTTTGACTTTGGATGCTGTCAGGTAGTCGCAGCCGAATTTAGCTTGCAAAGTGAAACCTTTGGAACGGAACCAGCGGTATGTGCAAAACTAAAAAGAATCTCGGTCAAGTCCAAGCCACTTTCAAGTTCAGGGGAAAGAGTGAAGGCAGCTTTGGCAGCCTCGTCACCTCGTCAAAGGCTTGACTGTCCACATGGTCTGCGCCTCGCATCTCTTGCCAGGAGCCTGAAGGCCCAACATGCCCAACTCAGTGCCCGACTTGGGGATGGGCTGGGTGTTGGGGGTGTTGGTGTGGTTGCTGGTGGTGGTGGGGACGTTGGAGCAGTGGCAGCTCCTGATTGCGGTGTGCATCACACGCTGCATCCTGTTCCATCCCTTTCCACTATGGGCATGCCCTGCCTGGAGCAGGAAGGGCGCTAGGCATCGAGGTTCCTCAGAAGTGCTGTCGCCCTTTGGCAGCCTACAACCAAGCAGCCGATGCTCGCCTGAAGCTGTCAAGGATGGTAGTGGGGACAATGGCGCCAGGTTCGGCAGGGCCGGCGGCCCCGGCATGCCTACAAACAGGTCAAGCGTAGATGACTCGCCATGCTGTAAAGCTTGCTTGATCCAGCCTGGCAATGGTGGTGGTGGCTTCGTTTTTGCAACGCTAGCAACGGGTGGAACGGGTGGTGGTGGCTTTGCACCGCCAAGGCCGGGCGGTAGTGGTGCCGCGGGAGGAAATGCCGCCTCAGTGCCGGACATAGTCAAACAACATGCAGCCGCTTTCTAGCAGCAGAAAAAGGATCGGACCACTGGCGCAACTGGCGCTGGAGGCGGGACTAGTGGGCTAGGCGCAGGTGGCACCTCAACAGCAGGCGCTACAGCATGCCGCCGCAACTGCAAGATCTGCAAGCTACAGATGCTACAGTACCCCAGAGCTGAGTTGATTACCCTGGAGAATGGAGCACTATGCTGCGGAGCCGACAACGGGGCTGGCAGAGGGGGTGGAGCGGGCAGCGCCGTTTCCGGCGCAGCCTGCAAGTCGCATAATGCCAAATCGTAGCAAGATCATACCGAAGCAAGCGCCCGGCCTTCCCCACGCCCAAACACCCACCGGGGCTCGGTGGGAAGGGAGGCATTGACAAGTGGGGAGGGAGAGGGCCTGGAGACCCTCCCGGGAGAGCTGTGCCCAGGGTCGTCCCCGGCAGCGAGCCGGGCAGCGAGCCGGGCAGCGAGCCAGGCACCTCCTCTCCAGGCTGGGGCCGTGCCTAAGTGCTCGAATCAGACGAGAAGCAGGGATCACGCTATGCACCCAAAACTCCAGCTTTCTGCCTTCCGCACAGCAGAAGAAACTCAGATTGAGGCTCTCCTCCAATCAGAGAGCACTGGCTTCCTCGTGCAACACACGAAGCTACTCAAATCCCTCAAGCACAGCCAGCACAGACCTGTTTGGAAGCCCGAGTTACTCTTGATACCTTGAACCTCGCATGACTTTATCGTACCAAGTTACCATCATTCCGAGGAACCAGGTTCTGTAGGGTCACCCAATATTGAATATCACCCCATTATGACAGCGGAGCGAACTTCTAGGAATCAGGCGGCACAGCTTTTGCAGAGGAGTTGGTGAGTGCCTGCAAAAAGCATCAACTAAGAGCGCAAAAACGAAACATGGGAACGCGAACCTAATGTTGAATCCGGATGAATGCATGCGGGGCCAATGCATTAAAGTTTTCAAGGTTGTTGCGTACCCATAGGTTTGTGTCCGGGCAGCGAACAATAAAACAAAGTTGTTGATGCTCCAAAAGAATCTGAGGAGGGTCCCTGATATACTTTCAAATTCCAAAGGCGGTAGTCAAGACTCTAACAGCACGCGTTTCAGGGTGAGTAATGTCGAGGTTTGTTTTAGTGGGCTAATGCTAAGGCCAGAAGGCTAAAAGGCCAGCCCTTCAAATCTGATTCAAATCTACAGGCCAGGCTCTATTATATCTCTTACTTCCGGAAACAGATAACTCCCGTAACCATTAAGAACTTCAGTCAAATTCCAAAGGAGGTATTCCAGCAAGACTGTTGAACCTCGAAAAAAGTCGCTTCACTCGGTCTAATTACGTTCCGGTTTTTGGTGGGTTCTTGGTGAAGCCCCAACTGGTTTACAAGGCCAGGCCTTCCACAAAGAAGAACGCGATCTATTACTGAGGACTCAGCCCTTCCTATTCTCTACAAAACTACAAGTACTTCCTGAATCATTAATTTCCTGATCAATTGCACAGGCAGACGAAGCATTAATCTTCCCCATTTAATCGTGATAGGCATGACAGGATCCCCCAGACTCTCCAGATTGTTTGGGTGGGCGTCGGCTATTGAGGGGCCCACTTTTTGTTTGGGGGAACACTTTTCAGGATCCAACATTACAGTCATTGATGAGAAGTCACCAAGCTTGTGTTTCCAAGATATCGAGAGGGGCGTTTGATAGCCCACCAATGGATGAAGCTTCTCGACCGCTTGACAACATTGGCCTTCTGCATCCTGGCGCTTTGCATCAGCTCTCCTGCCAACAGGTTAACCATCTTCCATCGCATATCTTAAACATTAATGCAACCACTTGGACGTGTACAGTAGTCTAATGCCAGAGCTGCGCTCGATCCATTGCGGTCCTTCCGCCAATGCTGTCAGGGCATCGTACTCACCATCATCTCGATCCTTGCATGATCATAGAGAAGCAAAGCCTGACGAATAATGTACTGCTCTGCCGCGTGCTTTGGAAACAACCGAGTCCTTTTGGTGGTCCTTGGTTGTATGGTGCTATGCATTTGAGCTGCGGTGCAAGCCCAAGTACAAAGATCAAGCTTAAGTTGTAGGCCTTTGCTTGATCGGCCAAAGCGAGCACTTTGGTCTCAGGGGCAATCTTTGCCACCTGTCGTGCAAGCACTGCAGCGTTGAGAGGGCATGCTGCAGCAAGAAAACAGTGATGCACAAACAAGGCTGTGGGCACCATAGTTTGCTGGGCCGTTACCCTTGGGTTCAAGGAGTCATAATTTAGTTGCTGCAGATGCTGCTTTCAGATGAAGAGTATGACTGCATGCTGCAGAGGGACTGCGTCTGTGTGGGGAACGGTTGCATACCCGGCGTGTGGGGCACCCAGGTGGTGTTGAAAGGGTCCACCTGTCGTATCCTGTCAGGACTAAAACTGAACAAGGAGACTTCATGCAAATGAGTGGGGCAGCATTGCAGTCGTCAGAACATCGCAGTCCTTCCGAGCAGCATGGCCGTCGGATCACGGGCGCTGCCAAGGCCACCCCGCATCAAGACCTTTCATGGCCAGCATCTGCGCAGTCAAATGGAAACACTGGCACTGAGGCACCCCACGTTTGTCTGAGCCTCTTTGGGCAGTGCTCGAAGCCGAGCAGCGGCATGTGCCTGGATCTGCGGATACCTCAGACGGCACAGTATGGCCAAGCAGAGTCCAGACACCAACACTGACGGTGCATCCCAAAAGGCTGAGCCAAGAAAGCCTCGACTTCAGGATTCGCTGGCTGCTGGTTCTTTGTCTGTTCCATGTGCAACGCTACGGCCTCACAAAGCACTTCCCATGCTTGCATGCGAGCACACACAAACGAACTAAAATGAATGCGTCAGCTCAGCGCCTGCGCAACCGACTTGTTGTGATTGTACTGCCTCGGCGAGCAATCTGTGTCAAGCGACACAGTTCGCGGGAGCGCTCTGCAATGCAATCGCATCTTCAAATCGAAGCCCCAGTACATGCCCAAACCTAGTTGCACAGACGTTACGGAACGAGGCATCCCAAACAACTGCAGTTCCCGATTCACGTTCACATCACATTCGCCTTTATAGGGCCAAGCAGCCTTGCAAGCGCCTGCACACGTTCCAGATCTTCTGGCATGACCTTGACATCAAAGCCGCTCCCTCCGCCGCCTCCTGCCGATCCGCGCCAGAGCTTTCCGACAGATCCTAACGTCACGTCACCCTGCAGGTTGGCCTGCTTTCTTTTTGGGAGGACTCCTGCGGAAGCACATGACGCTGTAAGTCGGCTTGCTCATGCTGGACTCTTAGTGGCTGCTCCTGCTTTTAGAGGGCGTGGCACTCCGCCGCCGCCTTGTCCTCTCCGGCCTGTCCACCCTCTCCACCCTCTCCACAGGTTTCCTGCTGACAGAGGCACACGCGTAAGGCAAGCAGGAATTCTTGTGACATGATATAGGCACCGGCCTCCTGGATCGGGAGTGGGATCTCCGCCGTATTCTATCTCTATCCCTGGACCGTGACCGCAATCGCAGCGACATGACCTGAAGAACATTCACATCCTGCTTAGATACGCAGAATTAAGTTGTCTCGTGCTCTCAGCACTGCACGCCACGAAGTGCAGGCCGGCCGTGAGGGCGGAATTTCCCTGTAATCGCTGTCACGGCAGCAGGTCCAGCACAGCATGAAAATTCGTGATTGTTGGCCCAACAATGCTTGGTGACGTGATCAGCTGTCTTGAAGATCATGCAAGGCGATAGCAAACAGCAGCCCATTTTTGTCTTTGAGCACCCAATGTCACAACAATTGCAACCACATCTGAGTGGCCTGAGGCACATCTTGTGCAACAAGCTAACGCTCTGCCACGAGTCTTGGTGACAAAGAACTGCCCTACAAGCTCCCGCAGGCTAGAGACTATCACTCACAAAAAGTCTGGCCGGATGGGGCAGCTCTGGAGGCGCCTTCCGGGAGGGTATTGTAGACAAGCATGTTGTACAAATATTTCGCTACGCCTGTTATGGCCACAAGCCGGACCCTAAGCAAAAGTTGGGACTACAAAGTGAAAGTTGCACAACCGAAGTAACCTAAGCGCAAAGGCCGAGCACCGTCATTGAGAGATTGGCAGGGTGCCTGCTATAGGCCCCTGGAACTCGACCCCATGGCTGCCATCAGCATTGATGAGACACGTCGTGACTGGGCTAAAGTGAAGCCGAACCGCTCCAACATTCAGGTGCGATTTGCCTCTGTCCAACTTTAAGCCAATCTCTCTCAGAACTCATCCATCATCATCCATCCTAATGGCCATCAATACAGAAACTTCATTTGTCAACTCCCTGATTTGTCTTGGCCTGCGTCATCTGAAACAAACTGACCCGGACTAGGCAGGAAAGTATATATCGAAACGCTAGATAGGCCATAAACTTGTGCCCAACACGAATACAGCCCCGTAGATTCAAAGATTTTGCGCAGCCAAATCAGAGCTTGGTCACAGACGTGTTTGAATTCAGAGCCGATTCTGTGGTATAAGAATGGAATTGAAGAACACAAATTGCAGTCCGAAATCCGAAGCGTCTGAGGCCTTTCCACTTAGGATCGCCCTACGGAACTGCATGTTTTTGTTGAGTTGTTGTTACAACGGGGGTGTTATTGAAGAGCTGGGATTACCTGGTTGTAACTTGGAGCTGTACTTACCTACCTAGGACCTGGATTGGGTCCTCTGCAAGCTGTTTTTCCCACCCTGGAACTCACCCCCACCCCCCTCCCCGCTCCCTAGCCCGACTTCTGACCGCAAGCTGCCGTGCAAGCCAGGCTGCACCTGTGAAGCTCAGTTCTCCTTACCCAAATCCTTCCAAACACCCATGCTTGGAAGCTTGAGCCTATTTGAGCCCATGCAGCAATACAGTAGCTATAGACCCAGCTGTCACCTGGCACTTTTCGTCTGATGCTGTATTCACAGGCGCCGTAGAAACGCTAACCGACCTAGAATGCCCAGCAGGCTGGCTGGCAGACTTCGCAGCGTGGCCCGACCAATGATGACTGCAAGTTTTTCAGAGACTGTCAAGAAGGAGGCCCACAGTTGCACCGCTTGATACAACGCAACAAGCCCCAGCGTCACACGGGCACTCTTCGCAACAACCGCAGCAAAGGCTGTAACCGTATCCCGTACGTTTGCTGGCTGCGTATCTGCATTTATGGGTCCAGCCTCTCCACTGCCAGACCGGACAGAAGTTCGTCTCATGTCCTGAGAATTCTTTGTCTCACTCCAAGGTCTGTTCCAGTCCGCTCTCCGCCAGCTTCTCCAGCGTCCTAGAGCGCCATTGCGGCTCCAAGAGTCATCACTTGAAGTCCTTGCTGGCCTGCTGGTGGAGCTTGCAGATTCCTTGGATTGTTTCCAAGAATCCCATGTTTTCGAATCTGGGGCACTGAACTTGCTGGGGCGGACCTCCCATGAACGCCGCAGGTGGGCAAACTCTCTGAAACCTGTTGGGACTTCGGCATCTGGCCCACGTATGGGCAGGCAGCACGCCTGAACCTCTTGCGGCAGCTTTAGGAAGAGAGTTTCTGGCAAACAGCATCTGCGATCCTTCGAGGGGATACTGCAGAGATGCCACTGGCAAGCCGGGCACCAGCCTCGAGATGAATGGGGTCCTGCTATGAAGGATGCATACTTGGCAGAGAAAACTTCCACACTTGGTAGGAAGAAAGTCTCCCCGTGCAGATTCGGAGTCCCTCCATGCCACAGCCTTGAGTCACGAAGAATTGCTGCTCCAACGGGCAGCGGGCAGAGTTTTGACTGCAGGTGTTCCTCAAGCTCATCCGCAAATTTGGGAGGAAAGTCCTGCTGTCCGTTGATTACCTTCTTGCCAGGTATGACCCTCATAGGTCCATTTTCTGGGCTTGCAAGTTGTAACACAAAGTTTATGGTGATTTTCGGCGGCGCCCGATCTGAGCGGTACTCTGGCGGAACTCGTCCCGGCCCCAGGGCAGAATGAAGCGCTTGGTAGTTCCCCGTACCTGCACGGACGAAGTCGCCCCCTCCGCCGGAATAGCTGAATCCCTCGGGCAAGATAGCGTGCAACACGCAAAGTGTCGCTGGGCAAGTCAGAAGGCTAAGCCACGCTGGGTGGTGCAGCATGTGGCCGGACTGGCTGGCAGCGCCAAAACTATAGCGCCCAGGATCGCAGTACCCGAGTCGCTCAGGGTCCAGCTGCACGATACGTTCCTCCAGCTCCCGACAACTTTCTAATACTTGCAAAGCTGTCTCCTCACTTAGGGCATTGAGAATCACACAGAACCCTGCTCGCTGAAAAATCTGTGCAGCTTGTTGGAGCCAATCATCTGCCCTGGCTGTGACACAGAAAGATGAGACGTCTAGGGAGCTCATCTTGGGGAGATGGGGGCAGTCCGAGCTGCGGTGCTTTTGCTTGGGCCAGGTGCCAAGTTAGTATGACAGCAGGACATTGCACTCTTTTGGCCGGAGATGGAGCACATGGCGCTGTCCCCTTTTTGCAAATAGATGAACTGCTGCGGGGTGGAGAAGAGGTGAAATCTCGGGCACTCCAAAGGAGCCGCACCACACTGCAACTCTTGTCTGAGGTGAAACGGGGAGTGGTTGTCATTATGTTCGCTGCTGGCTGTTTATGCTTCTTTCATGAACTGGCTGCTTGGGGGTGCTGTGCTGGGCGCGCAGCCACGTGTCTTCAATCTCAATTCACAAACGATTTGAACGGATCGTCCATGCCGATGTCCTGCAGTGTTAAAGCACGCACGAATATGAAGTCCAGCCCTTCTCCCAGTGCCTTGAAGGCCTGCGAGGTGCGTCCATGCCTGCTACATCCATCACTTTGCACACGGCTTAATGCAACTGCAGCAATGAAGTACCATGCCTCAACCAGAAATTGGCACACTGGACGTGCCAGTGGCCGCCCCTCCATGGCGCCGACGCCTTAGAAGTCCACGGCTCGGCTCGCAGATTTGGTCGGTCACTGCTAAGTACTGCTAAGCCAGGGCTAAGCTTTTAGGGCTGTCACTGCGCCAGGGTCTCTGCTCTGAACCTCGGCCTGTGTGGTAAGCGTGTGGTAACCCTGGTCTGAAATGCTACGCAAATCGGCATGTAAGCTCTGAGTTTCTTTTTTACTTTCTGGCCTCCAGGGCCAGGGGGACGGCCGGCAGGAGGCAGAGCCTGCACTATCAACACTGCTCTTGCAGTTCTTGTAGTTAAAGGGATTCGATCAGTTGTGGGCAGACACCTGCACAGCGGAGCAGTCCGGAGTGGATCGTTGCCGTCTGCGGTGCATCCACCTGCCTGTTAAGGGAAAAGCATCAAGCTTAGGCTCTTTGGCTCAGCCTGCCTCTGCCTTCTCTGTACAAACCGGCCTCGAAGCAAGCAGCATCATGCCAAGGCTCCAGTTTCAGCCGCAAGCCTCGGCAAGAAGCACACAAACCTGCGCCTCTAGCAGTTAGCACAGCACTAGCACACAAAACAAGCCCCTGAACCTACTTCCCGTTAAGCATAGCTTCTTCATCAAAACAACGCTGTGAGACAGAGGGGATGCTGAGAGTCACGGCCAACAGCATCAGACTCCAGCTTCGCCCACGAAGCCTGGCATCAGAGATTCAGAAAGGCTACCGCGACCGTTTAACAAAGGCGCTTCGACCTTGGCCGCAGCCAGGCTGGAAGCCAAGGAGGCTTGCAACTCCTTCCGGGTGCAGGAAGCTCAGCATGCTATCAAAAGGATTTGCAGACGATCGCAAACTATCCTGCTGTCCGACTTCTTTGCACATTTGCCAGGAAAGCAAAAGTCTCCTCCAGAGCCTTGGCATCCGAGCCTTCCGTCGGCTGTTCACCTGCGCAGCAGAGCCATGCAAAGCCGTGCAAAGAGGAAAGCGGTAGAACTTGTTGCTGGGGCGCAAGCTGTCTGACATGAAGAGCTCTGCTGCAAGGCCCAGTCGCCATAGCAGCCGTCGGAGAGACGAAAACCTGAGCTTTGAAGCTGGCAAATCGCAAAGGCCAAAGCGATTCCTCACCCAGGCTCTGGCCCGAGAAGCAGGTTCTGCAGCTCATCGCTTTCTTGAGCGCACTCGCGCTCCTGGCTGTGACAGACGGTACAGGCTTGGGAGACTCCCTGCCCCAAACAATGAATATCTGTAATATACATCTAAATAAATAGATAAACAAATAATTTTGTATATTATATATATATATCATTTTTTTAGATCATGGGGGGAAGTGTCTACATATTAACAGCCTTAACTGAAAAAGTTCTAAAAGTTCTATCGCCACCATACGGTCGAGAACTCCGAGCAATCTGTCCGGCCAATTCTGCACATGAACTACTGCCCGTAATGTCCGAAGACAAACACCGCGAATGTGGAGCTTGGAGCCTATGATCTCATATCATCTGCGGCCTAAGGGTAAGACTTTTAGGAAATTGCAAAGTCCCTAAAACTCTGGATGGTTTTCGACCTTTGCCACACCTTTACACCGCAGTTGCTCTGATGGTTGTGGAGCTCTCTGTCTAGAACCCTGTTCCGAAGGTTACTTGCAAGTCTCGCTGCTTAAACTATCACAATGCCGATTTCATACTCCTGCATTTGTTCTTCTTCGCATTCAGGGAATTGTAGCTTCATCGGGTGTCCGTCAAAAGGTGGTCCTGAGGTTATACCCTCAAAATTGAAGGGTCCTGGACTAGTGCCCAAAAACACTTTTACAGAGATTTGTCTGGACCCAGAACAACTCAGGTAACAGCTGTAGCAAGACTGCTTACATAGCCTGAGCAACCTTGATCCCTTCCTGCACCTTTCTGCTTGGCTGGATTCACGGATGTCATGCGTTGATGGCATTTGCGCAGAATTGCTTAGGACTGTGACCAACAGTGCTCCAAAGCGGATACCGGATGGATGTTCATTGCATGTCATTGCTATGCTGCGGAACAAGTCCAGCACAACAGTCTGGCACTTTGTAGGAGAGCCGGTGGGCCACGATTCTCTGAGATGCAATGGATTCACGAAGGCTGTAAAATCAACGTGAAGAAGTAGCTGGAGCACTCAACTACCCTTGCATTGGACAGGTGAGCAGACAGCTGCGGGCATTTCAATGATTCAGGCGCGGCCTCGTCAGACCAGTCAGGATCCGCCAGCTGCGACATCCTCAGCACTTCATATTGCGGATCTTGTGCTGCGATTTCAGCTTGGGACGCGCACGCAATTGCGCGCATCATTGCACTGGGATTCCCACTGTGTGGAGCACTCCACAAGAAGATCGCATAATGCTTTTATGCACACCAGTATTGCCTGTCATGGCTTGTGGACTCACGACTGCAGCGGCATTCATTGGGCTTGCATCCAACCTGCAAAAACAGGAAGACATTTTGCGAGGTCACTGCTTCGATCGCCCTGCACATTTGCCTGCAGGCAGGCTTGCAGAAGCTAGTGCAGCCAGCAACTCGGAACGGAGAAGGCCTTGCCCGGCGCTGCTGCCGCACAAGGCTGGGCCTCACGACATGGAAAGCATGGAGCAGACGACACGGACATGGCATGACAAAGGTGCTCTGAAAGCGCTGGTTGTAGGCACACTGCAGGACGGGTAGGCAATTGGGCCGTGGCTCGGGACAAGCACACCTGCCCGTAGGAAAGGATGGCAGCTGAAGACACGCTCGGAAGACTATCGCGCCTGAAATTGTTGATGGCGATGCCCAGGGCTGCGCTGCTAACTGGGTCGCCCATCCACTGGCACCTGCGAACACGTCCATTGTCAAACGGGCGAGACCAGCTGCTCGTGTGACGTTTGCGAGATCCCGCCTCTCCGTCAGTTGCTCTGCGGCTCGCTCCAGGCCTCGATGTTTTGAAAGCACTTCATGCGCTCTGTACTGAGCTGTCTTCAGAAAACATGTTAAGGCTAGATTCTAGTTGATGCAGGACTGAGCAAATGCGATACGCAGTGACGTTGTGCTAGTCATCTCTTGTCTGCTGCCGTCACTGGCGTGCTGGGAGACAGGCTCCTGTCGCTTTCGCCGCTCTCGACAAGACGCTTCCACGCCTGGCCCAAGCTGACATGAGGGTTGCTTGCTGTAGGGTAGTGGAACCACACGCCACCGATCTCCTTGGCATGTTGTCTCATCAGCACCCCAAGTCCACAAGCCCCTCGGCTTCTCATGAAGTGACCCAAAGATTGCCGGGCTTGAAAGCTCAACTAGCTGTCCCGGTTCGCCTCCATGCCCAAACCTGCAGCTCAAGCCCAGGCTCTATCTTTTGGGTCAGACCCAGTCCGACTGTGCTCAACTCATACTGACAGGATCGAGAAGCCATCCTGAGTCTCTTCGGATTCATTCTTCTTGTAAGTCCTTTGCGGTACAACTTGTAATTAACCTGTGGGAGATTGAAGACAGATGGCATACCAGAAAAGACAGGGATAGAGGCATCCATTCAATGAGCTTCTCAAAAGCTTCAGCGAGCCGATCACAATCTTGCCGCATATGGGCAAGAGGAGCACAGTTCGGATCTGCCACCCAGGCTGCTGTCAGACACGCTCGACCAGTTTTTCTGGCCTCGCGCAGAGGAATTCCCTACAGTACCTACCTGGGCAACCATGGACAACTTCAGGCTTAAACAGTTCTGTGTCCACAGCCCAACCCTACGAAACCACACAGTCCGGCAGTCCGGCGGTCTCCGCGCACAGCGCAGGAGCAGTGCATTAGCAAAAATCGAGCCACGCTCAGTCATTGAGCTTTCCACGAAGCTGCTTCATGAAAGCCTCCTGCAATCTGCACATCAGGCCAGCCTGGTAGCTTCAAGGTAGCGCCGCTTAGGCAGCGCGTGGCCTAAAGATGCCCGATGAGACATGTGGCGTGAAAGCTTGAAGGACATTCCCATTCAGTCTGGCGGCACCTCTACGATGTAGCCTCTCCCTTCAAAATTTTGGGCGTGGCGCATACTTACGAAAGTCTCTGTCGCTTGCTTTTTCTTAGCTCTTTGATTCGGTGCTCCTTGTTCTGATGCGTGGACGTCGTAGGACGGCCGAGGTCGGCCCGAGCACCAGGCCTCGAGATTTCTCCAAATTTGGGCTTTGGCGTTTCATGTGGGCATTTCACGGCATTTCTTAGGAGATGGGGTTCCGGGTAGTCCGTCAATTTAGAGTTGCCCATGCTAGAACTGTCCCCTAAAGAGGACTTGTATTTTTGAGAAACCTCCCCATCATGCACCCATGCTTTCATGAGAGCCTGACAGCGCCTGAATCTCCAAGAAAGAGGGCCCACTGCTTGCCTGCCGCAAGTCAAGGCAATACATGCTAGGTCCCCCTGGAGGGTTGTAGGGAGGGTTGTAAGTTGTAAGCACATTTCAATTCATGATCATGGATTACTTTAGGGGGGTCCTGCTGAATCCCCACGTGTGATGCTTGCAGAAGGCTCAGTAGGGGATCAGTGCGAAATTATTCCTGAATCTGACCACAATGCTCAAGACAGCCAACAGACTTTTTTTGAAACAGCCACGGAAGCGCTTGTCATCTCCTGAAACAAGCCGCACATGGTTCCCCGCCTGGCTTCACTACACTCCCCCACAAGAGGCTCAACCCTCACGACTGTAGTCGCTTTTCGAAGGAGATGCTTCCTAACGAGAGTACAACCCCTAGGAATACTGTACTCTGCTTTTATGTAGCGCACATAAACCTTTTAAACTCAGAGAGACATGTTCGTGGACAGCGATGTGCATCTCATGTCATGTCTATACATCCATGTGAACTTGTATATGTTCCCGGGTTTGCCACACTTTTATGAAGATGACATCCTTACAAACCCACCCCCAATACTAAGACCTATGCACAAAAACCGGAGTCCCTGGATCTATGTACGAAAGAAACGCCCACCAGCCGAGAACCCAGATGAGTAGCGTTTTTTTGGTGATTGAACCTAGTAAGATTAGGTTCATCTTATAAAAATCCTATACGATAAAGAGGATATAATCTTGCTCTATATTGCGTACCATGGTATGCCCAAATGAAATTTACTTCTCAGGAACCCCTGAGAGTGGCGTGTTTAGGGATAGCTCGCTCAGAGTGTGGGCGTGCGTGCAGGCCTTCAGCGTTGCTAGCGCTTCCCGCACCTCTCCCGTGCTGCGAGCTCTCAGCACCTGGAGGTCTGGGTTGTTCAAATAAGGTTCTTCTTGGCATTCCCTTGTATGGGGGATACTAGGGCTTGCCGCTTTTTCTGAGCGCCTCCTTGTAGCCACATGCCTTCGCGATGGCTGGGAAATCAATACTCACTGATCCTGCATCAGCCATGCAAGTTGCTTGCTTTGAATTCATGGCCTATGATTCTGCCAATTGCGGCTCTCCTGTTGGCTGGCCACCAACTGAATCGTGCACCGCATTGTTGATCAAGACATGCTTGAAGTTGCTAAGGCCTGGTGGGCAGACAGTGCCACTAGAAGCCTCCCAATCTCACCATTTCGGGAGCAGACAACATGTGTTTAACCTTTCACGGGGAGTAGTCTAGTTCTGGCGCAACTACTATGAAACTGATTACGAGGCTCTTGGCAAGGATCGAGCTCAGGCGGCCGCTGCATCTGCCGATCGTTGCAAAGCAGCCCATGTGCATCAAGGCCTCATCTGGGTATGCGCCAACGACAATTGAGAATCAAATGCATAAGAAAATGGTGCATGAAAATGGAACTGGAGTTATTTTCTGGCATTAGCCCGCCCTTCCTCCTGCCCCTGCTCCTTTCACTCACGTGCCAAGTGGAAAGATGCAAAGCTCTGGGGCGGACTCTAGCGTCTAGACCGGATGCGGAAATGCGACCCATTAATTCATCATGAAGCTCTTGATGCAAGAGCCCCAGGCAGCACCGTCACCATCGATGCAGAGGACCTCCTGCTGCGGCTGCGCAAGCGCAACACCTGGATGTCGCGGAATCGGCAGAGGGCTGCAACATGGGTTTGCTCAAGAACCTTTGTCGCACATTCTTATGAGCGATGTGAGCAAGGCCAGCATAAGCTATGGCATCAACCACCAGGTCGGGGCCCTGGCCAAGTGCGATGGACGAGCAGTGCCCCATGCTACCAACCTGGTCAACTTGAGAAGGTGGAGGCATACAACCACTGACCTTCTTCCTCAACCGTTCATCCTGCAGATGCTCTGTCTCTCACGCAAGCAAGCCCTGAGCCCCCTGCTGTCAGGAAGTCGTGGCCGTGCGACTGGCCTTGCTGCAGCAAGTCAATCTCACTGACTGGTTATCCGCACTTCTCGTGAGGCATATGCCTTTCTGAACCCGCAGTTCGAACATCTCTCGCGAGGTGAACCCTGTGGTCGTCACCTGCAGGCATGTCGACGGTCACGACGCGCCGTGAACGGCCACAAAACTCTGCACCAAGGCACGGACCAAAGGAGACGACGGGAAAATCTGAATGATCTCCTCCAGGATTTCCTCACAAGCACTGATGAGTCCAAGACCTCTGGCTCAACGAAAGCCGCACCTCTCTGTGTAGCATGTCGTCACCGCTGAAAACTGAACTGTCCGCGGCAAGCCTTCGGGCATCTGCCGATGATTGTGAGGACTTGCTATCTCAGCAAGAGATTGCTACCTGTACTTCTCGAAGGTCTCTTTCTTCACCAGGAGTGCAAAGGGCTCTTTCCTCAAGCACTGCAGCGCTTCAGTCAACAAAACCTATGCAAACGCAGGCTCTCAGTTCCGTACTCTTTTTCCATGTGACCCTTTGCGCAGGCACTCATGCACGCACACTCTGCGATTCAAGGTGCATGTCGATAAGACCGGCGCATATGCTTTGGTTATGACCTCGAAGGCACCTGCGACGAAAGCCCAAGATCCAAGGCTAGGAGTTGTAGAGTGCAGAGCAAGCCCCTCCTTCTGCATAATCTGGAAGGATCTCGTAGGGGACTCCCATGTTCTCAAGCATGGTGGGAGTCAGCGCCTGGGATTCTGCACGCTGAGCTTAGCTGGGATGCCTTGACCCGAGGCACAACGCCCTGCAGAAGATGCTGCGGCTCGTCCTTTTTGCCTTTAGTCATGACAGCTTGTGTTAGGGAACTATCGCGTGCAATACTTGCACTTTGCCTGGCTCTCCGCGCCAGCCAATGAGGAGCAGGGCGGGAATGGCATATACCTAGTGCTGCTCGGGAAAAGGGATCACCCTCAAGCAAATACTCTTGCCGGGCCTTCTTACTACACAACGAGAGCAGGGGATTGATGGTGTTTCCCAGGCCGGAGTTCTGCAGGTAGACACAAGCCTCAGCAAAAGGATCCTGTGCCGACCCACGAATTGTCACGTGTAATCGGCTTAAGGGGCTTGCGACGCTGCCAGTGGCAAGGTAGTGGCCAGCGGCCATGGCAAGTGCCGTACCTTCGTTGGCAGCAATGACCTGAGAGTGAACAAGGAACTGACCCCCCTTGTGCACCTAAAAACTGAGACGTGAGCGTGCTGACTCCCAGGGACGTTATCTGTGATATAAGCACACACATCCTGCGGATGCGGCAGGTAAGTGCAAACACGATGAGGCAGACGTCCGCCTTCAGCAAGGAGTCTGGCACCCCTGCGAAAAAAGATGTTCCGTGAGCCTGAAGTTTTCAGCATCTGCGAACATCAAAGCGTGCCTAATTGCGCTACCTGGCAAAGTCCAGGCCCCCTGCACGCAGCAGCATGAAGAAGTGAGCAGGATTCAAATACGTTCTAACCTTGACCCATCACGTGGTTTTTAGCTGGCCACGCAAGCTGAACTGCCAAATGACGTTTGCCGAGTCCAAGATCCGAGCCGTTTCAGTCATTGGTCGGTAGATTCTGGGGTCTGCCTGAAACAGCAAAGGCGGACTCGTAGCCGCTTCATAGTCAGCATGGCCGTCACCATCATCGTCATCATGATCACCATCATCACCATCACCATGGGCACCAGCAACACCATGGCAATTGACGGGTGCTCCCATCGGTTCTGGTATGCTACACGTGTGACGCATACATGATTCCGAGAAAGTAAATCAACATGCCCAACATGCTTAGATAGACTTTGCTTCCAGTCCTTCATGCATCAAATATACCACGCCCGACACAGATGAAATCTTATCTCCGGAAACATGGAAGTCAGGATCCATTCTCTTGGGAAACACAGTATGTTGCCGAACTCTCAGGGCCTCCAAGAAGAGTCTACATGTTGCATCTAGACCCCTCAGGTCCCCATGAAGCTTCCCAAAAGTACAAATTGACGTCACTAGCATTACAGCAAATAACCATTTCCAAGGAGACCCCTAGAGCCCGGTTTTCACACTTAGCATCCCCTACCAATTCCTGGCGTACTTCCTTACACTCATCCTTATAGTGTATGCCCCGGACTCCCACTATATGAGGGTTTCATACCATGGGGGGATCCCATTTCACCCCTAGATCCGAAATATCTTGTCTGCCGTTCAGGTAAAGCAAAAGAAAACATTGCAAGGATTTTCACAACATAGCCCACATTTTCTCAGCAGTTTTTTCTACATGCTCTATGATTTTTCCTGCTGCTCCAGCCCAGGGCCATAGCACACTTAGAAAACCCTGGTTTGTTCAATGCGTTCTAGAAAATCCTAGAAAACAGTGTGAAAACCAATGTTTTCTCTGCTTTTAATGATTTCCAGAAGAACCCCAGACCTAGGCTGGAGCAGCCTGGAAAATCATAGAATATCTTTAGAAAAATTTGGACAACGTTGTCGAAGAAAGATCATAGAAAGCATGTTCAAAGCCAATGTTTTCTGTGATTTGCCTTTGCCTTGCCCTGGGTTCGACAAAGTTCGCCGGAGCTTGCGTTCTCAGGAAGTTGGGAAGGTGTGCGAGTTCCGAAGGATGGACCGCTCGTCGGATTAAGGACCGATTAGAAATATTTCCAATGGTTGAAATAAACAACCAGACACCCGTTCTTTCCATCTCAAGGTTGTAACTCTTCTTTCAGCTACAGAGTGTTTGAATCAAGGGCCAGTTCATTACATACACTCAGAAAGCTACCCCTCAACCCAGGATTGATCCCGCAAATTAGGTTAACCTAACAACTTCAAGATTACAACGTAATTGGCCTGGTCTTCGATTTCTTGCATTTGAACTAACTGATTTCACTCTGGCCTATTTCAAAAAAAGCTAACAGGCCCAGTTCAAGTATATTGACATGAAGACCCGGATGTTCCCTGCAATTCAGTGAAGCACATTAATGTGATTTACGTGAACAAGCAAGCAACAGAATTACCCGACAGCCTTTTCTCATTTGATAGTTCATCCCTGTGCTTAACTTAATGACAACACTTTGATTTTCATCCACGAGCTAAACGACAGCATGGGCCCATGATGTTTGTTATTCAGCAACTCCATCGGCCTTCTTCAAGCTTGCGTATTTCATTAAAATGAGGGGCCAGCTGTATTGTTTATTTGGATGGTCAAAATGTTGAAGCCGAATGATGTTTTCATTTCGGGAGGATTTTCCTGCATTGCGGGGCTATGTTGTCGTCTCCCTGTTTCAGCTCAATCAAGGTCCTGTAACGAATATTCAAGCGATTTGAACACTTGAACTTGTAGAGTTGACACCTCGTTGAAATCTTGAAGTTGTATGCAAGGCCTGCAACAAGTTTCACTTCCCTCAAAGCCAGGCTTCTCTTTTGTCTTTCTTGCACAAAGAACTTGTAATACATGTCTGCCAAGTAGAGAACAAAGGTTTGTCTTGTCTGAGTAGAACTAGCAAAAGGAAACTTCTATAGGGGAGAGGACGTGGACTACGTGTACAGGTTCTCTTTCATTAGGATTTTCAATAAACATCATTCAATCGGATGTTTTACTTAAGTAAACTGAACCATAGAATTGGGCTCCGGATTTCCACCTTTTGAATTATCTAGATCACAATGGGGGATTACCTACGGACATCCAAAAAAGCGCCATGACATCGAAAAAAAAGGAAAACGATTTACGATGTCCGAGAGTAGGTTTTCCATGTTCGGGGCACGGCAGGACGCGCGTGACGCGCGTGACGCGCGTGACGCGCGTGACGCGCGTGACGCGCGGGACGCGCGGGACGCGCGGGACGGGCGGGACAGGGGACGAGCGGGACGGACGGGACGAGCGGGATGGGCGGGACGGACGGGACGCGCGGGACGCGCTCCGAGCGGGACGCGCAGAAGTAGTAGTATTAGTAATAGTAAAAGTAGTAGTAATAGTAAAATCCGCCGACCCCGGCCTGGCGG